CTGGCTGTTTTTGTGTGGAAAACAAGTTATGTTAAACACATGCAAATACGGCTTATGCAAATTGATTGCAGATTATTTTTGGGAAAAACGAAACGAAACGAAAAACCTGAAGAAGACATTATCCAATTGTGTTTGTTTGTTTGCTTGTTTGCTTATTGTCCATCCTGTCCATTCATTCATTCATTCATTCAATTTCAATTCAGAGATTAAAAAGCATTTAAGCATGAAAAATGAAGCTTTGAAACATAGATAAATGAAGTTACGTTACGTGTTTATCTTTGATCTATTTAACTCTGAATCGAATGATAAATATTATGCAGAATTTTTTGAAAAAAAATTTACTGATCCGACACACGATACACAGATGACATGACATGTTCGTTTGATGTCTTCATAATGACGATGATGAGGATTTTTTTCTGTTGAAAACTTTCTAATTGTTTTTCCAATGTTATCTAACCTTTCTTTCTTTCTTTCTGGATGGTAAAACGATAACAAACATTATCATTATATCAAAGCAATTTGCATTTTTTTTCATTCTGACTATTCATTTCTCTAATTATTTTTCTGTTTTTTTCGCTAATAATTATTGCTATGAAACGAATGAAAAGCGAAAAGAGAAAGAATAAAAACGTCATCTGTTTGACACTGTAAAAATGAAATGAAATGAAATGTCTATTGTTTTTTCCATTCTCTCTCTATGGCTATATAGTCCATTCATTCTGTCATTCATTCATTATCATCATCATTAGGCGAAAATAATATTCGCGATGATTCTCCGAATGACTTTGTTGTTTTCCACTGTTTTTTCCACTGATGTTTTTTAATTAGTCAAAAATGTTTTATGGACATTTTTTTGTTTTGCTTGTTAATAGAAAATAAGTGCTTTTTTTTGTTTGCTTGCATCCAAGAGAAAATGATTCACATTTTTGTTTGTTCAACTAGAAGAATTTTTCTGTTGCTGTTGATCCATTGAACATTTTTTTTTTTTTGATTGTATTATGCAGATATGGTGAAAATAGAGAAAGTGATGAAAAAGAAATAATGATGAAAATGATAGATGGACATTGTGTGTGTATGTATGGGTCAATTTTATTCATTTCAAAGATGAAAAGATTTCAATAAACATCGATCGATAAACCGAGTGTGTGTGTGAATATAATTAATGATCATTATGTATGGCTATTATGATTTCGATCTTTTCTGGTTATTGATTTTTGATCGATTATTGATTTTCTATTTTCCGACTGGCTCATTATTATTGGATGGCTAACATTAACAAAAAACAACAATCGAACCAAAAAGAAAATTAACAAATTCAAATGAATATCTGTTTTGCACTAGAAAATCAAAACATTTATGCACTTTGCGCATAAACACACACACACATTATTCAATTTACAGTAAAATTTTCTTTCTCAATTTTATCATCATCATCATCATTTAGAACTAAAAAAAATTCTGTTCTCCATAAGTGTGAATCAATTTATCCCGAATGTTGTTGATGAGGATAATGTTGTTGTTGTTGTTGTTGATGACATTAAGACACACTTTTTTTTACTCATCTAGAATTTATTCATTGATAATGATGATTATGGTGAATGAATGAATGAATGAATGATAAACATGAACTTGCTCTTAACGAACAAAAGTTTCATTCATTTTTTCTACTTAACTTACATTTTCTCTCTCAGTCTCTCATTTCACTTATTTCGAGGATAACCGAAAAAAAATCTAGTCAATTTTGACTTGCTCGACTTGATTCAGTTTCGGTTTGTGTTTAATGGCGCGTTAGGTGAATCTGTTTTTCTTGTTTTTTTTCTGGATTTAGGCAAACAAAGCAAACACACAGAATGATGCTAAACACTTCGCGCGCACTTTTGCATTTCATTTTCGTTTTTTTGACTGAATTTTGGTTTTTTTCTCTTATTTCACCACTGAGTGTCATGAAATTAACTTTTTCTAAACCACGATTGGTGGTGGTGGTTTTCCTGTAATGATTGAAAAATTTCCAAAAATCTAATTTTTTAAAAGTCAAACTTTTTTTTTCGATGCAAGAATTTTTTGCAAAATTTTAATTGCTTTTTCTCTGTTCTCCGCCAACCCATTCATTCTATTTTAACCCTTTTTTGTCTTTTTCCTCGAAGAAAATTAAACATCATTTTACGATTTGTCGCACAAAGAACAAGAGAAGTGAAGTGAATGAAGAAAATAATGACAAAAAGGATGCTATTTTCGATAGGAAATTTGAGAATCATCATTTAACCCTTTTTTGAAATGAGATTTTCTTTTCTCTTTAATGAGTGACGATGATATTATTATCTTCTTATCATCATCATCAAGGATGTTTAGCAATTTACAGAAAGCAAAAATAAAAAACGAAAGCATCATCATTTCTTTTGTTTTTTGTTTTGTAATTAATTTGCTGACGGAGTAAAGCAATTTGCCAAACAAAATCTTCATTTTTGCATTGTTTTTAAACTTAACAACAACAGCAAACCATTCAAATATAAGCCATATTTTTAGATTCGTCCATTGATCGATTACAAAAAGGAATTCAATTGACCATTATCATCATCATGGCATTATCATAATCTACATTTTATTATCATTAATAATGAAAATAATAATTCCATTTCTCCATAATAATCATCATTATTATTAATAAATCCTATCATCATTAACATTTTTCTCATACAAGCGCATTACTTTTATTGATTATATATATAGGATGATTGTTGTTTTTGTTTTGCAATCCTTTTGGTTTTATTTAGTTATTATGATGCATCATTAATCATAATCATCATCAATGATGGGATTAATCAACGTTTGTTTGTTTGTTTTTTGCTCTCGATTGCATTCTCATGAAATTTTTCAATTCAAAAATTTTCAAATTTGAATGACGGAACTGAGAACGGGAAATTATTAATGAAAAATTATTTCCGATTAATTTTCGCAAAAAGCAAAATTCATTTCCATCAAGGGAAAATAAATAAACATGGATCTCTCTGTACCGATGTTAACGACCAATATATTTTTGGGCTTGACACATTTGAAAAAAGGCAAAAAAATGGACAACAACAACAACAACGATATTAACTCAATTTACAGAAAAATTCTGCTGAATTATTTAGTAGAGAAAATGTTTGTTTGTTTGTTTTTCCAAAATGGCCAGCCGTTTTATATAACAGCCGGCTATTCCTGTTGGATAATATTCGTGTGTCTATCATCATCATCGCTGTCGTGTTTGTTTGTAGGGAATTTCTAGAATATTCTAGAGTTTCAACACCAACCGATGATGATGAAAAACTCCTACGCATAATATTTGAACATGGCTGTCACTCTGTTGTTGTTGTTGTTTTTTTTTGGTTCCAAGAGGCTTTCAAATCGATAAATCAACTTTCGATTTGTTTTTTGTTTTTGGTGTAGAGAAAATCCATCTATCAAAATTATATTTTGCTGTTGTTGTTTTTCTGAGGTATATTTTATGCAAAACAGTATTTCTAGCTGTCGATTGTTGTTTGTTGTTGTTGTTGTTGATTCTTCATTAATTATTAATTAATAAAAAAGTTGTTGTTGTTGTTGATTTTGACAACAACAACAACAACAACAAAAACAACAACAAACCCTGATACAAATGGCGGAAAATTCCAGGGAAAAAAACAAGGAAATTTTCAATATTTCAACGTTTTATAACCTCAAAACTTTTTTAAAATTAAATTCTCCTTTGCACAGAAATGAATATAGTGGATGATATCTTCACTAACACACAAAACAACAACAACAACCTAGAAACTGAGATCTAAAGTAATTTTCTGTGCTGTTGTCAATATATTGGTTGCAAATGAAATTTGAATTGACTGACTGACTGAATTGACTGTACAGAATATTTATTCACATTTAATTTTCCACACTGACTATCTATCTATGTGTGTTTTTGGTGAAAACATTGAGGGGGTTCATTCCATTTCATTTTAGCTTTTGCGATTCTCTCTATTTACGCGATTCCATTATATTATTAACTTTCATTCATTTCATTTCATTTCAAACGACAAAATCTTCTTAACTTTTTCGTTTTTCGTTTCTCTTCTTTTATAATAGTGAGCCATGTTGGGCTGAACATTGAAAAGAGCTAGATGGAAAAACTCTTTGACTACTTTTTTCTGATCACTATGTTGTAATTTAGACTTTTTATTAGATTAGATTTTTGTTTGGGCAATGTGTTTCGGTTCTGTTTTGATATTTTGAATGAATTGAACGACAACAACAACAACGACGAAAGAATGTTCACTTGGGTTCCAATTGATAATAATAATAATAACAGCAGAATCGAGCTATTAAAATTCCAAAATGATCGAACGAAAAAGAGAGAATTTCTAAAATTGCAATACCCAATGACTGCTGAATGTTGTAAGAGAATTCCGTAAATTGTCAATGTTGGCAGAGAAGAATCGTAGATTCTATATTCTCTCTTTATTTCTACGATTCTACGCAGCGCTGCTGCTGTTGTCGATAATAATTAATTTTCAAAACAAAACAAAGGAAAGTAAAAGGAAATTATTATCATTTCGATTTCGATTTTTGTGCCCAAAAAAAATCTAATTTGATTATATCATATAGAAATGATAATAAAACCTTGCACCATTCTCCATTATTAACACCGTTTGCCATACACCCACGCACAAACAAACAAACAAACAAAGCGAAGCGAATGAATAACAAAAAGTGAGAAAATAGGAAATTCTTTGATTCCATTCTATCATTGTCGAAATAATATTATCGATCGAAAAAGCGAAAAAATAATAGCAACGATGTTCAAGTATAAATGGTTCGTTCACCTTTGTTTTTTTTTTGTTTCTCGATTGTTTTATTCATATTCTTATAAAATTAGGAATGAAAATTAACATAAGGAATTTGCAAACAACAAGAAGAATATTCCGTTAATAATGATAATAATATGAATTGACAAAGCTGATTTTCTGATTTGTTTTCATTCATATTTTTGATTAGCTCAAGTCTGATTATGAATGAATGAATTCCAAGTTTCTGCTGCTGCTGTTTGGCTGTTTTTGTTTTTTAAGCCAATAATTCTTTACCAAAAAATGATGATGAATAACGACGAATAATCCATTTACGAAATTCTTCATACAGAAACATTAAAAACATAAATGGTAATGCCCATACAATACTTGGCCAATTAACTGGATTTGTTTGCATCACTTGATTCAATACAGGAGTATAGATGAATGTTGCTGCTAGTCCAGTTTCAAATATGATGCTAAAATTAAGTACCCAATTACTGATCAGCGAAAAAAAAATTGGAAAAAAAATTTCATGATTTTGATCAGAAAAAAATGAAATAGAAAAATAACTTAATCACCTCATTCCATGTCGAAAAATTGATACACGTCTTGTTTTACAAACAATAACATCCATCCATTGCATAACAATTATTCCGGCAAAATAAGCACTTTGAGCTTCGATTTGTATTGATTTTCGTTCTTCGAATGTCTGTGTAAATGTGTGGATTTTGTTGAAAAAAAGAATGAAAAAAATAAAAAAACAAAAACAAAAACAAACCGTTTGAATGTAATTCCAATGATATCTGGAAGAAGTATGAAAATCAATACGTGGTAATGTATCATTATGATTATTCCAACGATGTTGTGTACCAATTAACATTAATGGTGAATAACCATTAAAAAACATTGAAATAAAATAGGAAAAAAATGCAGCCGAACTAATCATAATACCAATTGTTAAATATGCACGTTGTAATAATTTACTATCAACCATACGATCTTTTTTTGAATTTCTTGGTCCAATATTCATAATATCATTTTCACATTTTTCATATGCTAATGATATTGCAGGTACCATATCAGTACCTAATGCAATTAATAATGCTGTTGGTGTTGAAATAGCTAATGGTATACCAATAATAGCATATAAAATGAATGGATAAATTGTTGTTACATTACCGGCTAAAATATATGATATTGTTTTTTTAAGATTATCAAATATACGTCTACCTTCTTCAATACCGGTAACAATTGTTGCAAAATTATCATCCAATAATATCATATCAGCAGCTTGTTTGGATACTTCCGACCCAGTGATACCCATTGCAATACCAATATCAGCTTTTTTTAATGCTAATGAATCATTAACACCATCACCTGTAACGGCTACAATTTCACCAATAGTTTGAAATTGTTCAACAACACGTAATTTTTGTTTTGGTGATGTTCGGGCGAAAACAATTTCACCATAATCCAGAACTGAACGTAAATCTTCATCCGACATTTCTTCTAATTCATTACCAGGTATAACAATTGATCTTTGATTATTAATCATTGATGTTGTACTACGTAATGATGCAATTGATGTACCACGATGTACAGCCGAAATTATTCCACACATTTTTGCAATTGCTTGTGCTGTAATTGGATGATCACCTGTTATCATTACAACACGTATACCGGCTTGTCGACAAAGTTCAACTGCATTCCGAACATCTGGCCTTGGTGGATCAATCATTGAAACAAGGCCAAGAAATCGTAAATTTTCTAATTCAATAATTTCATCTAAATTTTTTCCATCAAATTGATATTGTTCATCAAATTCTTCTCGGGTATATTCACGATCACAAAAAGCTAATACACGTTCACCATTTGTACCATATTCACGATATACATCTTCAAACATCATTATAAAACTATTATCAATTGGTACGGTTTTACCTTCATCATTTACACGCCATTTACAATGTTCCAGGATTCTTTCTGGTGCACCTTTCATAACAAGAAAATTATTTGAAAATAATCCTGTATTTGGATTATTTCGTCGATGTATTGAATATTGATATTTTGTCAATGAACTAAATGGTTTTTCAGCTAATTTTGGATATAATTGTCGATATTGTTCAACTGAACCAATAGATTCTTCTAAAAATTTCATAATAGCTGTTTCAGATGCATCACCTAATGTTTTACGATTTTTTATAATAGGATTATCATCAAGAAATTCAGCTCTTGAACAAAGCATTGAACAACGTTTTAATGCCAACCAATCCAATCGTTGTTTGATTTGTTCATTTTCTTCTTCATCCAAACATAGCATTCCATTACGATTAGCATAACTATCTGTACCGAACCAAAGATGTTCAACTGTCATACGATTTTGTGTTAATGTACCAGTTTTATCAGTACATATAACTGATGTTGAACCTAATGTTTCAACTGCTTCTAAATGTTTTACCATACAATTTTTTGCTGCCATACGTTTTGCAGCAACTGTTAATACAACAGTTAATGCAGGTAACAATCCTTCAGGTACATTACCAACAGTAATACCAATCATTAATATGAATGCAGCAAATAATGTTTGACCAAAATAAATAGTTAGGCCGAAAAATAAACCACCACTTAATAATGATATTATTGTTATAATATTAACAAAAAATGATATTTCCCGTGCGATTGGTGTTGTTTGTTCACCAATATTCGATACAATTGATGCCAGGTCACCAATAACTGTATTATCACCGGTTGCAATTATAATACCAATACCACTACCATCAGTACAATTTGTTGAAAAAAATGCTAAATTTGTTGCTTCCAAATATGATTGATTTTCATTATCGGATCGTTCAATTGTACGTAGTAATGGTTTTGATTCACCTGTTATTGATGAATTATCAATTTTCATACTATCTGAATGTATTATACGTATATCAGCTGGTATACGATCACCTGCATTACAATAAACAATATCACCAATAACTAATTGTTCAGCAAGTATTTCTTGTTTTCTACCATTACGTAATACGAATGCATTCTATTTTGTTTGTTTTGTTTTGTTTTTTGTAGAAAAATTGAAAGTTTGGTTGGTTGATTGATGGGTCAGCAAACTTCTAAATAATAACTTACCTGTGGTGTCATTTGTTTAAATGATTTAAACACTTTTGAACTGGACATTTGTTGATAATAGGAAAATAAACCGGTCATAACTACGGTAAATATTAATGCACCACCTAAATATGCCTGAATTTTTTAAAAAAGTAAAAAAAAAGTAACGTGAGAAACATCTTCAAAAAAACACAACAATCAATGGACATCTTACATCTTCTTTTTTATGTTCAATAAAAAATGAAACAAAACTAGCCAAACCGGCAAACCAAAGTAACAATGCAAAACCACTGGTCATTTCTTTCAAAAACAAAAGATACCATGGTTTGGATTTTGGTGGTGTAAATGTATTCAGACCATCTCTTTCTAAACGTTGAATTACTTCACGTTCATCTAAACCATTTACCGATGATGTTTGATATTTTTCCATTACTTCTTCAACAGTCAAAAGATGATCGATTATTTTATTTTTTGAATTTTTTTCAATGTTTGCTCGGGATGTTGATTGTTGTTGTTGTTGTTCGGCTAATTGCTCTGGTTCTGGTCGTTCTACATTGATCACTAATGAATTTTCCAATCCATCATCAATACGAACACGTTTTCGTATTGGTGATGATCGTGAACGTTGTCTTGATGATAATGTTGTCGATGTTGTTGGTTGTTGTTGTTGATCAAATTCATGGATTTCATCATCGTCGAATGGATTCATCTTTTTGGCCATTTTTTCTTTTGCAGAAGATTCAAAAATCAATCAACAAAGATAGAATAATAAAGTCATCACATCAATCAAACGCCAAATGAAATGGAAAAACATCAGCAAAAAATTTTTCAAAAAAAAAAATCGAAAAAAACTCCCCTCCTTTGTCTCATCGATTTCAAAATGATAATCGATCAGTTTTTTTTGTGTGTTGGATCAAATCATATTGGAAACACTATGGTAACAAAACAAACGAAACACTTTTTCTTTTGCTTTGGGTTTCGTAATGAGAATCATCATTTCCTATATGGTTAATTAAAAAAAAAACATTATCTGTCTTTTTGTCTTTGCGTGGAGTGGGTGTAAATATTAATCAATTTTTTTCGTTTCGCTAATGAAACGTATCATATCAAATTACTACGTCGTCGTTGTTGTTTTTTTTTCGGGTCAAACATAAAGAATTTGAAAATTTTCTCACGGGTTAAGTTATTTACGAAAAAATTCATCTTTTTTCACTCAAATTACACAAGAAGATTCCATTTGACACTTGTTTTTTTTCGGTCATAAAAATCTTTTTTTTTTCTCAAACAACAACCAGAAGAAAATCATTTAGTTCAACTCTTTCCCACGTTTATTGGCGTGAAAAAAAATTGAAAAATTTCATTCAAAAAAACCAAAAAAAAAAGATCAGAGTTAATCAAAGATTTTCTTGTTTTTCCTCCAAAAACCAAATTTTTGTTTGTTTATTTTCAAATTTTTTTTCCAAAAAAAATCAAACGCGTGTTTATTTTGTTTTGTTCAAAATCAAATCTGTAAATCAGAAGATTGCCTCATGTCACTAATGATGTTTATTTTTTGAAATTCAATTTCAAAAAATTTTCAATTTTAAAATTTTTCTATGTGTTATCATTGCCAATCACACACAAACACACACACACACACACAGACAGATATTCGTAAATGACACACGACATTGTTGTTGTTGATGAAAAGAGGATTTTTTTCAATTTTTTCAATTTTAAAAAAAATTGAAAAATTCAACGAAAAATTCAATAATCAACGAATGATGTCAAGCGTAACTCTCTGTGTGTGTGTGTGTGATGTAATGTAATGATGATTCCAGTAGCAACAAAGATCCTAGACATGCGCAAAATCAATCATATTTTTTCCCCTTGGTTTCTAAATCAAATCAGTAAATGGAGAGAAAAAAAAACAGTGCTAATTAATCATCATTTAATTAGTGTAAAATACGGTGGCGATGGTGAGGATGAAATGTAATTTTAGACAGGCCAGGGAAAGTTACAAATGTGAAATAAATGTGTTTTTGGGAAAAACTGATTAACAATTTTTATGCTAATTTTTTTCCAAATGTGCGCTATATAAATATTAATGATGATGATATTTGATCCAAAAGAAAGTTTCATTTTTGCCATCATCTATTTCATTTTCTCTCAAAATAAGATGTTTGAAAATGTTTTTTGTTTCCATTTTCCAAGCTTTTTCCGCAATTTCAGCAATTTTTCCCTAGGTTTTTCCTTCACTGTGGATTTAAACAAACGAAAGAAGCAGGTTTCTAGCATCCAATTTGAATGTGAAACAAGGGAAACAGGCGAAAAGAAAATCCATAAAACCAATTTGCATTTCCGTGTTGTTTTTTTTCATTCATTCATTTCCCTGTTGTGTGTATGAGCTTAAAAAACAACTGGGCAAAAAAAAAATGCGGATAAATATAGCATCCAACCGAGTTTTTTTCCATTGATTTTCAATTTTTTTTTCTCCAATACCCGAAATCGATTGTGTTTGAACAAAAAAAATACCGATTTTTTTTGGATCAACAAAAATCTGTTATTCAACAGAGAAAAAGTTTTCCCGGAAAAACAACAAAATCCTTATAACCCGGGTTTTTTGTTTTGAATTTCAAAAAATTCAAAAAACCCCTATCCAGTATTGACAATGCATCAATCAATTTTTCAAATGTTCCACCAACAGCTAAAACTTTTTTGGAACAAAATGGAACATTCCACGCACGCATTGGTTTCCATGGTTCTAATGCTTATGGGGGAAGAATAAGGGAAAAAAATTTTCATCAAGCAAAGGTTTACCGTTCGTTTCAACGACAACATCAAACACACACATTTGACAATGACATATGACGTAATAACCGTATCACCATAGCAAAAATAATCCTTTTTAAAAATAGGTTTTCAATCTTCATTGAGATTATTTTTTTTTAAGTAGCGAAGCTTGATGTCACATCAATGAAACTTTTGAATCGAATCTCGAATGATGACACGAACACAATTTGGATCAATCTTTTATGTTCCATCGAATGTAAAAAAAGCTTCAATCAGTCGATCATCGTGTATTCGGTGATGGTGAATTTGAGAAAAGTTTTTTCATCATTTCATTTTGTTTGTTTGTCAAATTTTTTGAAAATTTTCACTGGTTTTTTCATTCAAAAAACCAGTGATGTTCAAGACCCGTTAGCTGCGTTCATTTTTTTTTTTTTTGACTGAATGGGTGAGTCTGAATTGGAACTAAAAAATTTCAACAAAAAAAAAACTGATTTGAATAGACCAAATGGATGAATGAATGAATGGCTTGTGCATGTGCTCGCTATTCAAAAAAAAAAACATCATTTTTGTTTCCCCATTGATAACGACATCCTTTTTTATTTCGGTCGTTCGTTTGTTCGTTTATTCATTGAACAAAAAAAAACCCGAAAATCCCGAACCTAAGTTGTATTGGAAATTTTTTTTTATTAATGAAAAGAGATGGAGAGAGTGGGGGGAATGGGGAATGAGGGGGAAGAAATTTGCATAATTTACATTACCAGTGAACAGAAAATCACATCTCCACTAATGAATTTCAGCAAAAATTGGAAATTTTTGAATTGAGGAACATGAATGAATGACTGAATGGAAAATGAATGGAGAAACGAAAAAACATTAAAAATTATGCACAAAATGCAATATGCAATGAATTATTTCCCTTAGGCCCATAATAATGATGATTTTTTGCCAGAATTGAATAAAGCAAAATTTCCATTTCATTTCATTTNAAAAAAATGCGGATAAATATAGCATCCAACCGAGTTTTTTTCCATTGATTTTCAATTTTTTTCTCCAAATCGATTGTGTTTGAACAAAAAAAAAAGAAAAAAAATTTGTAGCAACAGAAATCTGTTATCCAACAGAAAAAAGTTTTCCCGGAAAAACAACAACAAAATCCTTATAACCCGGATTTTTTGTTTTGAATTTCAAAAAAAAAAAATTCAAAAAACCCCTATCCAATATTGACAATGCATCAATCAATTTTTCAAAAATGTTCCACCAAACAACAGCTAAAACTTTTTTTGGAACAAAATGGAACATTCCGGTTATATTCATTCACTTACTTTGCTAACATGCACGCATTGGTTTCCATGGTTTCAATGCTTTCGAAGGGGAAAAAAATAAAGGGAAAAATTTTTTTTTTTTCATCAAGCAAAGGTTTACCGTTCGTTTCAACATCAAACACACATTTGACAATGACATATGACATAATAACCGTATCACCATAGCAAAATAATAATCCTTTAAAAAAAGGTTTTCAATCTTCATTTGATGACAATTTCTATGTTCCATGGATCAATCTTTTTTTTCTATGTTCCATCGAATGTAAGAAAAAAAAACTTCAATCAGTCGATCATCGTGTAGAAAAGTTTTTTCATTTTGAAAAATTTTTCACTGGTTTTTTTTCATTCAAAAAAAAGAAGAACAAACCAGTGATGTTCAAGACCCGTTAGTCAACCCTGAAATTTTTTTTCTCATTGACTGAATGGGTGAGTCTGAATTGGAACTAAAAAAACTGAAAAAAAATTCAACAAAAACAAACTGATTTGAATAGACCAAATGGATGAATGAATGAATGGCTTGTGCACGCTATTCAAAAAAACATCATTTTTGTTTCCCCATTGATAACGACATCCTTTTTTATTTCGCTTTTTTCGAAAATCCCGAACCCAACCCGATTGAAAAATCTTTTTAATGAAAAGAAAATGAATAGAGTGTGTGGATGGGGAAAATGAGGGGGGAAGAAATTTGCATAATTTACATCACCAACGTTGTAGTTGCACAGAAAAAATCACATCTTCACTAATGAATTTCAACAAAAAATCGCAAAATTGGAAATTTTTGAATTGAGGAACATGAATGAATGAATGGAAAAAACATTAAAAATTATGCACAAAATGCAATATGCAATGAATTATTTCCCTTAGGCCCATAATAATGATGATGATGTTTTTTAGCCAGAATTGAATAAAGCAAAATTTCCATTTCATTTCATTTGAAATTTTCCAATTTATTTTAACGAGAAAAAAGAAAAAATTTTGAAATTAAAACAGCCGCATCCAAATACACTGATGTTTTCGAAATCAATGGCAAAAAAAATAACGGTCCCAACGGTTATTTGATTGAATATTTTCTTTTTTCACAGATAATTTTTCTGTTTCTCGGCAATTCAATATAAGCAATAAATTAACATTTGATTAGCATCTAGCCAAATGTCATCATCATTTGCATATTCAGCGCAGAAATAAGGAAACATCATTCACAGAGATGTGTGATCAACCAAACTATAAAAGAGAAAAATCAAAACTAACTGATTCAAGCAAAGTGAGTGTTAAATAAAATAACCACTGATATAATGATGGTGGTGGCAATTTGTTACCTGTCTTTGATAATTTTTCACATCTCACACTCTCTGGCTATACATCCATTGCATTTCGGCTCAATTTAATTTCAATTGAAAAAAAAAGTTTCCTGAAAATCCTTATCCATGAATAAATTATTACAATCAGATGATGATGATCAGCATTGATTTCTCACACAAGGATCGCACGCTCAAGAAAAAAAAACCTTGAAGATTTGGATTTTCCCAAAGATTTTTTTCGTTGTTTTGTTGAACTTGAAAATTATTTTCTTGTCCCTGACCTTCGCTTTGTTTCTTTATTCACACCGATCACACTTTACAATTGACAAAGCAAAGTCTGTTATGTCAAGAGTCATTTTTGGTTGGTTGGTTGGTTAGTGTTTTCTTGGTTGTCACATATGATATC